GAGAGTGAAAAAGCAAAATCTCATTTTAGTATTGTTTTGAAAAAGTTTTGTCCTCACAGATCCTCTGAAAGGGCCCCAGGAACCCACAGGGGTCCTCAAACTATACCTTGGAAACCACTGCTATGTTTTCAATTATTATCATTGGTGTTATTGTTTTTAATGATGACAATGCAGGTTACTGAGAGAGCCAGAATAGCAATGGGTTTTCCAAAGTAAGAACTGTGAGTTTTGAAGTTCTCTTGAAGAAGCTGGGTCATCAAAATGCATAATCATAACCAAAGTATTTCACGAAAAGGGCAAGTGGAAATTAAGGGACAACTGGCTCCCTGTGCTGGCTTTTTCTTTTTCTGTTTTTATCCTGGTAGAAAGGATGACAAAGTTGGAGGTCTGATGATGCATTAGTATATTCACAGGTCTTTCTTGCTCAGAGTCAACAGGCTCTTGAACTTCTCAGTTGTTCATTTAAAAGCCAATATCTTGTCACCGTTTCTCAGGGGAAAACCAGAGCTTTCAAATTATGCTGTAGAAGAAAACTGTAAATCTTAGGTCATCACGACCAATGGTGCCTTGGCTCAGTGCTGTCAAGCCACTTTCAGTTCTGTAGTCCCTGGGTCTTGGTGTGCCAGGGTTTCCCTCCTCCTCTCATTCTCTTTTAAAAATAATCATTCTGCTTTGGGTATTTTTCCTGTCCATACATTTCCTGGAAATATGAAAATAACAATAACAAAACATCCTAAGGTACAGATTAATTTTACTGGTCAATGTCCTGTGGCAGTAAAAACCATCTGATGATGGCTAAGGAAACTGATGATAGTTGAAAAGAACATTCTAGAGAGGTGCTCTACAAAACTTGAAAGTATAGGCAAAAATACAATGTTAGGAGGGTGAAAATAGAGAAAACAATAGGTCATTCCAGGGGTTGATGGTACCAAATGAAATTCTGAGAAAACTGATCTTGAGAAAGAGGGCAGAAGTGAAGGGAAGTCTACTAAAAGACTTTAGAAAGGAAAATCAACCCAGAGTCTTGATTGTGTATACCTCCTTCTGCTATGTTGTCTCTTGTCCACCTGTCATCTGGTTCCCATATCAGCCTCAAAGATGGTGTGATGCCAGAGAGCTACACGGTGAACAATATTGTAGAGACTGCTCTACAATGATGCATAATCTAGTAAGAAGGCTAAATGAAGACTAGTGCATGGGGTTAGAAAGAAGGGGGAGATCTGGAAAGAAAACAAAACAGCTAGTTGGATGAATGGTAAGATTAATCTTTTAGAGATCAGGCGACATAAGCATAAAAAAGCAAGGATTAGCAGAAAAAGGAAAAATAGAGTAAAAATATAAACAAAGAAAGGAACAAACAACCACAGCAGAGAAAAAGAACAGGTCTCAACAGAGAGAAAGGCAGGTCATAGACAATTGAAGTAAACATACATGTTATGATAGAGAAAATATAGTAAGTCTTATAGGAGGGGACTCTTCTTAGGGATTGAAACATCTATCCACTTTTTTCTTCTTTTGGTCTTTGGAGTAAAAAAGTCTTTAGCTATGTTATGTGTTCTCACTCCTAAACATTGCAAAGTCTTCATTGAGTACAAACAGAGATGATCAACATCTCCATTTTATCTTGGTTTCCAGTGCAGCATTTATCTATGTCCTTTGGGGTTTAATGTTAAGAAATCAAGGATATTCCTATCCCGAAAAACCTAGAGACTGGGGTTTTGGGAAATGGTGAGGCCTCTTCTGGTCTGATTTGTGGTGACTTTGTTGCTGTCATGGATGTCTCATATACAAGATGATCTGGGTTGGGAAAAGGGCATGTCTAGCTGCTTCGTGATCAAGGAGGGGCCTTAGAGAGTCAGAAAATGCACGATTTTATGGAAATGTGATGGAGAGATGAGAAAGCAAAGAGGTGATGGTGAATATTTCACTGAAGGAATCTCCTCTCCTAAATGCTGTTATGGGAGTGGGAGTGAACACTGGTTGACATGTTCCCTGTTCTCTCCCATTTGTTTTCCATTGCTCAAACCTTAAAAGGGTCTGCCGCCCACACTGATAGAGGAACAGATGGTTTTGCTCATGCTGTTCCCCTTGCCCTGAACAGAAGCTGTCTTCTGTTTATATCACAACCCAGTCCTTCCACCGTCTGCATGAGTCCTCTTCAGTTCCCCTGCAGAATTCATCTTTCCCACCTCTCTATAGTCCTCCCATACGGGAAAATAACTCACATTTGTTGGGTATATATACAGAATACAGTTCAATAAGCTTTCACAAAACCTTGTTTCCCCAAATCCTTACAGTACCCTTGAGGGATTATTCTCTCCTGTATAAGAGGTGAAACTCATGACTCAGAGCAGTCACCACTTTCCCAAAGCCACACTCAGTCAGAGAGCAGGCATGGGGCACACCCTGACCCAAGCTTGCACATTATGGTGCCTAAAAAATGCAAGCATCTTCCACCAGCTAGTATCAAACAATTCTCCAGATAAATCTTTTACACATTTGGTTTATTTTTTATTACGTTTTTAAAGCAATGTGTGCTATTTTGCTGTATCTCTAGCGCTTAATACAGTAGTTGGCACCTAGTTCATGCTCCATAAATACTTTTTGAAGGAGTTGGTGCTTCATAAATGGCAGCCATTATTATGAATGCTGTCTGACTCTCCAGTTTAATACGAAAAGTTTCGTCTTTGGATTCAGAGCAGATTCAGATCACGTCCCTGGTAATTTTGAGCAGTTACCATTCTTTTGGAAACTCATCTGTAAAATGGGAATAATCACGCCTACCTCACTAATTAATTTAATTAATGTAATGTGAAGTGTCTAGCACACTGCCTGGCTCAGGCCCCCATCAATGCTGGCTAGTCACAGTTATTAATTAATATAGGCCAGATGGTCACGTAAACAACCAGAATGTAAGCCAGCACTCCTGTCCCTACGCCAATCTGAACCTCCATAATTTGGGGGGACAGAGCGTCAAAGGGGGGTCTTCCTAGGCACCCCCTCTTCCCCAGCCACATTGGGAGGCTCGTAGGCAGCTTAGACCCCAGGGGCACGTTGAGCCTCCAGCGGGGTGGCGGCGTGCGGGAAACCCGGGCTGTGCCGCTGGGCGTGCGGGCAGCAGGCGCTCCACTCCTGCCCGAGCGGCTGCAGGCGGCGGCGCGGGGCTCGCGGGCGCCCGGGGGGCGGCGCCGCTGGGGCGCGCTCCTGGCTTGGCCGCGGGTCCCCAAGAGTCAGAATCGTGGGGGCGGCTGCTCCGCTGGGCTGAGGCAGGGGAGCCCAGCTCGCCCCTCCTCCGCAGCCTCCCAGTGGTGGCATCACACTGCGCGTGTGTCCGGTGTCTGCCGGAGGAGCAGGGCCCCAGGAAGGCGACGCCGTGGCGGTCGCGCCCCACCTGCCCTCTGCGAGCCCGCAGGTTTCGGCAAGTTTGGCTCAGTCCTCGCAGGTTCCCACGGCGGCCCGAGTCCCTGGGTTCCTGGCTTGGCTGCCCCTGCCTCCTCCCCCTCCCCGGCCAGAGGGGGCGATCGACGTGCGAGGTCCTGATCTGGGGTGACTGCAGAGACACCCCGCTGTGTCTGTCTCCAGGGGCATGGACCGACTGGGCTTCAGCGCGGATGGTGCATTTTAATGATGTTTAGCAGGACCTTTCCAGTCCTCAGTTCCCAGGAGGCTCCCCAGTTTGTGCAGTTTCTTTTTGTTTGGGGATGCTGACTTAAGAGTATGTGTGTGTCTGTTTGTATCATGGGGCAATTATTAATGAGAAATCTATGGGATTTCAGCCCTTCGTTCTTTCCTCTTAAAGTTTTCCTTAAAAATGTCCACAATTGTACTTTTCTTCTTACTTGAAGTTCTTTTTAATTAATTTTCAAGAAATGATATTACACAATACCCTAATATATTTAATAATATATGTTCTGTATTAACTGTTTCTCATAACTTCCCCACCTCTCAAGCTTAATACCAAGTGTGAGCCCTGAAAAAATAGCTCCATTCTAATAACACAAAGTTTTCTTTTAAAATGCTTTTGGAAAAGTTAGGAAAAATACACTGACTAATGGATTTTGGCTTAAAAAGTGGACAAATGCAAAAGTTAGTAACTCCACAAAGCCACCAAATGAATGGATACTATTTATGGTTTGGGGTTTTCGGGGAGCGATTTTTCAATATCTGTAGGGTTATCTTGAAAGTTGGGTTCTGACCTTAATCCTGAAAAGGTTAAAAAGCTACTAGGCTATATTCATGTCACCCTTTACAATAACTAACCTATAAAACATCTAGAGTGTGTAGAATCAAATAGTTTAAATTAAATGGAGAAAAAGGTAAAATATTTGTCATCCCATTACATCAGTTTAGATGAGATGCAGGTAAATCATTCCCTAACCTTTTAGAAGATGAAAAGTTTAGTGACTACTATTTACACACTTTGAATATTTTATATTTGAGTGGTCATCACAGTTTACGCAATGATTGTATATATCCATTTCCAATCAACATCAGGCTATGTGTGTTATGTGATGGTTAACATTTCAGGCTTTTCTGTAAAGTGACTATATAAAACTGCAGAGATTACTGCATATTGTCAAAAGGTCATTTAAAGATTTTGAAAATAAAATCATTAGGTACAGCTTAAGAGAAGTAGGGTAATGAATTATAATTTTAAAAATTTATATGGTGGGGCAAAAATCATAGTCTCAGTCATCGCTCACATCAAATAGTTCATTTTGTTTTGGTTTTGTTATAAACGTAGGTTTCTAGAGCATTAAAACAATCCTCATAGGTTTGTTAAACCTTTAGCAGAAGATTACAGCCAATGTTTTGTCTTTGGTGAATAGCTGTTTGTCTCACTTTATTTACTAGGTATTGGATATTTGTCAATGTCATTTCATATCTACAGAAAATTCTTACGCTCTGTGGAGGTAGTGAATGTGTGTGTGCGTGTCTGCCGGAGGTCACATGACGGTTTCATCCTATTTGGTGGAGCAGCTTGACTTTTTTTCCCCTTGCTTTTGGTGATGGTTGTGAGTGCAGAAGTTGATTGACAGATGCATGCCAGAAACCCCCATTCTCCTTTTCAAAGACAACATATGATGGATTGCGATCTCTCAGCGCAGCAGGACACGGGGACCATGCAAGCTGTAATTGGTCAGGTATGGAGTCAGCCATTTCTCAACTCCCCTTTTTTCCACAAGGGTCTCACCATATGATTCACATAATTCATATTTACAGTACCATCTTTCTATCTGTATCTTCAGCTACCTGCCAGCGTAGTGCTGAAAGTGCGAAAGGCAAAAAGGCACCCATTAAATCTGGCCAGGAAACCTCAGCTTAAAACTTCAATATGATGCCTTTACACAAAAACTAAGACAACAACAAAAACATCGAAGAACAAATCTAATTTATAAATTGGTCTGACTGTTTAAAAAAAATCTATTTTAGGAATCTATTTTCCTGTTTGGATTGTGATCTCTGAAAGAAATAAAGTGTGAGAAGAGAATAAAGTGTTATGTTTCCTAGGTAGTAGTTAAGATTTTTCTAATGCTGTTCTAGTATTTTTTATGTTGACTGTATTCTTTTCTCTCTCTTTCTCCATATGGGAAATATAAATAAATAAATACATGTGCCTTGACTTCTAACCCAGATAATGTGTGATTGAGCCTGGTAAATGTAGTAGTAGTCTTGGCTGCTGCAGAGGGGGCAGGCTGCAAATTAAACACTGCCACAATCTGAAAGGTCCAGGTGGTCTGCTCGCGCTTCCTAATGCAATCCAGCACAACAGCTTTAATAAACAGCTCTATTTAGTTCCTCCTCCCTGTATCCAAGGAGGTGAGCTGGTCTGGGGCTGCTGTGATGAAATGCCAGAAGAATATCTCTCAGAGGCCTCACAAGCTGATTTTTAGAGCTTTCCTGTTCTGTCGTCTTTGTCTTCCAAATGGGTCAGTGAGTCTTGCTCTTTCTGTTTGGTGCTTTCTGTTGTCAGTAGTTTATGTTTGTGTTGCAATGTTTGTGTTGTAAGCTAAATTAGCAGACAGAAAGGATCATTGTATTTTCATTTGCCTTCAAATAACTAAAGTGGTGAAAGGAATGATAGTTCCCTGCTGCAGAGGGAGGGTGATTTTTCTGACTCTGATGGGGGTGGGGAGAGGAAAAAGGGAATATATATGGTTTCTTTTTTTTTTTTTTGTAATGTATTTTTGACTAAATTTTTCTAAGTTATGTATGATTACTTATGAATTGTTAACTCATAAATAAGAATATGGTTACGAATATTTATAAACTCCTGAAAGTTTTTTTTTTTTTTTGCACACTTTCCAATCTAGACAAGCTGGCAAGGTGATGACATAAAATTTGTTTGCTGTATGTTAATAACATGGTGGAGAATATACCATCTTACTCTGTTTTCAACAAAATTATAGCAGAGCACTTCGGGGTTCTGAAAGCACATAGTTTATTAATACCAGCATGCTTCATAATGTATTTTTAGATGGAAAATGTCAAATACATAATACCATGTTTCCACAGGCTCACACTATTTTAAAAGAAGTAGATATTTGCTTCGACAGAAAAAATATTTTTTAAAACTTTCAGGTTGGTTTTTGTTCTACACATATATAAAGTGAAGTCTCTGGGCATATATTTGTCAGGAGAAAATATACACACTAATTTTATATACTGTTAATACCTGTTCAGTGTAAATATTCACTGATGAGCAAATATATCAAATGTAGCTAAAATAATTGTGGTGTAGGGAATTAAATAAGTATCTGTTAAAATAGATGACCTTTTCTCATGTAAATAAATCTTGAGCTCCTCATAACTGCCTTATTCTGTTAAATAAAACTTTTCTTAGGTTGCATGTTCTCTTCCATATGGCATAGTTATGGTACTTAATACTGTGCAAAATTATTGTGTTTCAGTCCCAAGTAAGAAGTAGGATTTCTTTTGTATGTATTTCTGGTGAAAGATCAGGAGAGACAGTTTTAGTTTGTTATTAAATATTATTTATTGGAAATCAATTGTAAAGGCATATACTTTTAAAACGTTCAGGTATATACTTCTAAAAAGGAATCAGTGTATATTTTACAGAGACCAGGCTTAAATTCTAGTTTGTCAGGATTTAAAATTAGTTGTTTTTATTACATAGCTCCGTATTTTGTGTGTAGTTGTAAGTAATGTTTAAAGGTTCCACATATCCAGGAACTGTACATGTTAATAACTTGTTATGAATACTTTGTAAATAGTTACATCAACATAGTCACATGTTTTCTGAAGATGTTATTTCTCATAAATTATTTGTTAAAAAACTCAAAATATCAAGTTAGTAATTGTAAAAGAAGTTGTTCTGAAGACTGTAGACATTTCTGTGCTAAAAATGTACAAACTAGAATGCTTATTTTTATTTGAAATTGAAGCAATAAGTATTCAAAAGGAAAGAAAAACAGCATACTGTCCTATATGTATCCCATAAAAGTCAGAAAATCTAAATTGAACCCATATCTATAAATATAAAATAAAAGGTGGCATACATATTTGAAATGAATTCATTTTAATTGTTATATCACAGATAAGCATATTTATGCAAATGATTAGTTCTAACAATAAGGGAAAGAACATGAAAATAATTTTTATTGCTTTGCACTCACTTGTAACCAGAAAGAAATGGTTTATTTTTTGATAAAATATACTCTTGATTTAAATATCATCTTATACCTACTCAGCATGTATGAGTAGTTCCATTTTAATAAAGCAAATGTTTGTTTTTTCTCAGTACACATTGGAATAATAATTATTTTTGTCCTTCCCCCCTTCCCCTGTTTTGAGTCCTGTTCCTAAATGGCTTTGGGTTGGAGGAGGAAATGACCAGTTTTCAGTGATGTTTTCCATTCAGAATACTGAAAGATTCCTATGAAATATGAGCTTTAGGTTTTTTCATTCACCCCTAGGATCAAATATCCACAGTTGCTTCCACTGGAGGGAAAAGTAGACTTTTCTGTGTTGCTGGCCATGATCCAGCTCAGGGGAGAGGACTGGCTTCAGAGAGTAGATATTGCTCATATATGCCTATCCCTCAGGACTTTCCCTCCCTTAAGCAAGCAATTAAGCAGTCTAGTACTTGGAAGAACAAACTCCCTGCCTAGTATACCAAGATCAGGAAACTTGGTTCATTCATACAGTTTTTGGAAATCAAACTGGATTTTTGATAACAGTTATCTGTAGCAAGCTTCCTAATCTCTTGCACCATAGGATGGATTGTTGTCCTTCAGATGATTTTCAAATCAATTAAACTGAACAGTTCTTAAGCAGGTTCTGAACCATGGGTTTGAGTGTCATTTAAAAATGAAGACTTACATTTCTACCTCTCATGGTCATTAAATGTTTACTGCATCTTTTCTTTTTTGTAGACCGGAGCTTGTGAGTGACAGATTAGTTCATCAGTATTGCAGACCTCCTGTTTTTGTTTTCTCTCATCTCATGCAGACGGGTCGCTGTGTCCAGTGCTCCTTCTGGCACTGCTGTTCCCAGAGGACCTGGCCAGCCTGCCATCCTGATGTGCAGGCCTGAGGGTCCGGGATGGCTGCACATGTCTATAGACTGACTTTTGCAAATATTACAGAACAGCAAATATTATATTAGTTGTTAATAAAAACAGATGGAGCAAATTCAATGAAAATAGTTACCAAGCATATCTAAGAGTTGGCTAGCAATGGGAGAGACACAGCTGCATAAAGTCATCATAGATACACTTCCAGTTGACTTTTCTAAAGTACGAGCAAAAGAAAGAAGAGACCATGCACCCTATATTCTAATAGCATTAGAAATACAGTCAAAACTTTTTGCAATTTTCCTTATTGGTAAAACGGGTCTGTTTTTTTCAAGGCGTATTCAGACAATTTGAAGTGTTGTGAAGTTGTACATTAGAAAACTAACACAGGTGTCTGAGGCAGTATTTAGTATGTGTATATGTATTTGCCCTAACAGTATTTCAGTCATGTTTGCATACATGGAGATTATAAAACACAAATATCTCATTGTTATAGCATCAGTACAGTTAATTTTATATGGAGATTTGTTTATACCATCCCTTGTTCCAAAAAGTATTTAACGTAGCTTTAAGAATAATCTGCTTACCTAAAACATACTCAAGCTAATGTGAGATTGAGGTTGTCTAGGGAGAGGGGACCCTGGCAGTGTGTAAAAATCATACTTATGGATCATTCTCAGTCCAATTAGACTGATTTTTATGCTCTCTCTATAAAAAATTAAACGTTGGGGCTAACCTAACCCTGTTTTACACATGCCAAGTATAACTCCCATAAACTTTTTAAAAAGTCATTTTTTGTGGATGTGAATGCCTATTAATATTATTATTTTTTTGAAACTGATGAATTGCTTCAACAACTTTATATATTTTGGGGCTGTGAAATTATTACTGCTTGAATTTTATTGAGAAGGCCTTCCTCCCTGCACCAAGGAATTATAGGTGAATAGTGTAGTAGACAAATACAAATTAAGGATTATTCTTTCTGAATACAAAATGGTGCTGATATTCTTTTGATAAGTGCCAGACTTACCACAGTTGAATTTGCACCATGTATTTTTTATTAACCTTAAACACTTAATATAATACTCCCGATTCAGACTTAGAGGAAAGTCTAATGTTAGCATTTTATATTTTATCAGATGTACTCAATTTTTATTACCTTTAGAATTTTTTAAATTAGAGCAGCCATTTAAATGGTTAAGCCAAGTTTGTCCATGAAAGTAAAATTTATCAATATAGTAATGATACTAAACAATAATGTTAATAATAATACTAAATAACCATTACATAAAATTGGGTCTTGAAACTAAATTTTCTTTTCTATTTCTAAGGCCAATTAATGAAACTCTTTATATATCTTATTCAAGTATCATTTTCAATGCTTAAGAATTTAAAGCTTTTTGATTCCTATCTCAAACATATGCAGAGAGGTTTCTGCAATTTTTTAAATACAAATGCTTGTGAAATAAAGTTTGTATGTGATAAGTTTCCTATGTGTAAAATCTATAGTACTCATTCCAGAGGTCAGCAAAAGAAGGTGTTTCTTCACTGACCTTTTCTTTGCTATATAAACTGCATGTTACTAAATAGTTTAAGAACAGGCTAAAG